GCGGGGCGGCCCGGCGGCGGCCGCGGCAGCTGGCGGCTCCAGGGAGGAGGGACAAGGGAGGGGGCGGGAGCCGGAGATCGCTGAGCGCAGTCGATCGAGCTCCGCCCGCGGCCGGCGAGGGAGCCCGGAGAGTTAGCGCTGGGAGGGACCGGGAGGAGGGTAAGAGACCCGGGTAAAGGTGGGAGGACACAGCTCCATTCATCTCTTCTTCCCCTTAGGGCTCATCTGCGGGCTTAGGTAACTGAAGCTTCAAGCGCGAGGTGCGGGGCCGCAGGGGCGGGGTGTAGGGGTGGGTGCTGAAGAAGACCCCTCCCCCGCCACCTGCCTCTCCCCACCAGCTGAGGACCCCAGACTTAACCAAGCTCAGACGCCTCCTTCCCGACCAACTCTCCCTCTCACCTCGCCCCCCTGGGCCTCAACACACGGCCCCCAGGTAGGACTCAAGTCCTTAGGTCCAGTTTTCGCAGATGGCGTGCGTCTCCGTGGCTCAAGGGCGCCACCTGAAGACTGAAGGAAGGCTTTGGATGAACCCCCCAGCACTACCTTTTCCCCTGCTCTTCTTTCCCAGTGGGACAGGGAGGTAGGTGCACAAGGTGTTCTCTTGGTCCCGCGGGAGACCAGCGCGGCGGGTGCGAGTGAACAGGTAGGTGGTAACTTTCACTCTGTTCCTTTCCTTTACAGGACCCAGATTAAGGTTAATCAAGTGAGGTGCCTAGAGCACAAGAGATAAAGAGACACTCCCTCTTTGGGGGCCTAAGCCAAGTCCAAAGAAAAGTTTGGTCTGAAGATCATGGGTTCCTGGGACGACTCGATGGCCACCAGCATGGCCTCGGGTAAGTCGTCTCACCTCTGTGAGTCTCAGGGTTTGCCTCTGCTAATGAGATCACGAAAACGCAGGCTCTGGGGCCTTTAAGAGGCTTGGCAGAGGCAGATGAGGAGTCCTGTCCTGACTCCTCAAGCCACCTCATCCGAGGGACTTACCTGTCCTACTGCAAATGCCTGTGCAGTCCTCAACAACCAGGAGAGCAGAGGCCACCCTGGAAGCCAAATGCCTGGACCTTGGAAGAGGTGGGGACCTGGGCAGGACCTCCAGGGTTGGGAAGGCTTCAGTCTCTTCCTGCCTTCCAGAAACCTAGCCTGTTGTTAGAGACTTGGAAGGAAAGTTAGCTGTGGCACCAGATTCCCAAGCAAATCCCAGCGCCGCCACTCACAGCTGTGTACTCTCATGCAAAAGGCTCCCCTCTTGGAGCTCAATTTCCTCCTGTGTGAAATGGACTTCGTAAGGGTTACTGGGATTTGCTGAGATACTCCCTGTAAAGCACTCGCAGTGCCCTCCCTCAGTCATGCACAGTCCTGCCTCAGAGCCTTTGCCAGTGTTGATCCTTCTGCCCCGGCCGCTCTTCTTCCTGATATCTCCAGAGCTCACTATCTTGCTCCCTTCAAGCCTTTGCTCAAATGTCACCTTCACAGACCATCCTTCTAAAAATAGCGGCGCTCCAGCACCCTTTGCTTCTTAACTCTGAATTTTTCTCATAGTATTGATCAACACCTGACATTAGCTTATCTTTATTTGTTTATTATCATCCCCACTAAAAAATAAGTGCTGAGAAGCAGAAAAGCTTTACCTGTTTCCCTCCTTGCTATATCTCTAGGGACTAGAAAAGCAGCCAACACATAGGAGGTCCTAGATTAATATTTATTAGAGAATGGAGAAAATAAGCAAATATTTATCAAACACCTAATTTTTCCCCTTTAAATCAGAGTCCACCATAGGCTGTGCTACATAGCAAACCTTTTTTTTCACAGACAGCATAAATCTAGGGTATAAATAAGAATGCTAGGTCCCTAGTCCTTTATTAGGGACCCTGTATCTCAGAATTTAGAAGTTTTAAGAGTTTAAAGAGATGACAGGATATACATACTGCAATTTTTAGAACGCTTCAGTGGGGTCTAGGCAGCATTCCAAAATTAATGGATATTCACACTAAGTGGGATAAATAAAGATTATAAACTGATCATAGGCTTCTCATCATTTCAGGAAAGGTTTTACCACAAAATGAGTTGGGAAAATGAACTTAAAGTTCTCGGAGTTTTTGGATTTCGGAATTGTGGATAAGGCGTTGTGGATATGAGGAAGAACAGAGTACTTTTAGGCTGCCTGAGGTACCCCTGAAGCCTTTCTTGATATGTAATTGACATGTTTGTCATTGATATTATTTTCTCCTAAGAAAAGCTAGTCCAGAATGGATTACTAGTAATCATTTGTGCTTAAAAAGAAGATACATAAAAGTAGTTTATAATTTCAGCTGTATATGGGCTATCCATTAAAACTCATTTGATGGGTCTTTCTGAGCAAATGGGAAGTCAGATTTCTGCAAGGCTGCCTGCCCACTTCCTCACTCATTCCTCTGTCTGTTTTTGTTTACCATCATCACCACCACCGCACCCACTTAGGGGCCTTTCCATTGCCCTGCTTTTTCAAGTCCCATCTTAATTTATACCTTTTCTCTCATCTCAGTTCCAGGTATCTCAAACCACACTGGTATTTTGTTCTCTGACTGCCTATTTTACCTAAAATTCTACTGTGCTATGTGACGTGTCAATCATTGTTTTATGCATATTTATAAGCTTCGCTTCCCCAGCAATACTATGTCTTTCTTGAAGGAAGGACGGGAACTACATTGTATACTTTATTTGTATCATCCACTGTATCTTGTCATTCACAATATTTCTGTAATTTTTATAAATAGAAATAGGAACTTTGTAAAACATGAGTTTTGGAGTCAAGTGAATTTAAGAAATGCTGAATAATTTCTTACCCTCTCTGAGATTTGCAATGTATATTGGCCTGAAAAGTCTTCCTGTAAAGAAACCTATTTAAGCCTTGTCAACCATTTCCCATTCACTGTTGACCTCAGAACACCCCTTTTCACTAAGAATATCCTGCCAAACTCAGTTTTTTCTGCTTTTTCTTTTTTCAATTTATTTTAAGCTAAAAAAAAATTTCTCTCACCCCCTACTCTTCACCTCTGGCAATCACCAATCTGTTCTCTGTATCTCTGAGCTTGGTTTTGTTTATTTATTTATTCATTTATAGATTCTACATATAAGAGAGATCATATGGTATATGTCTTTGTCTGACTTATTTCACCATGTTGTCACAATGGCAAGATTTCATTCTTTCCATGTTGTCACAAATGGCAAGATTTCATTCTTTCTATGGCTGAATATATAAATATAACACAATTTCTTTATCCATTTAGCCATCGATGGACACTTATCTTGTTTCTATATTTTGGCTATTATAAAATAATGCTGCGATGAACACAAAGGTGCATATATCTTTTCCAGTTAGTGTTTTTGTTTTCTTTGGTTAAATACAAAGAAGTAGAATTGCTGGATCATGTGGTAGTTCTATTTTTAATTTTTTGAGGTACCTCTATACTATTTTCCATAGTGGCTGTACCAATTCACATTCCCACTAAGAGTGCACAAAGATTCCCTTTTTCTCATGAATGCTTGTTTTTTTTGTCTTTTTCATTATAGCCATTTGTGAGGTGATATCTCATTGTGGTTTTGAATTGCATTTCCTTGATGAGGGATGTAGAGCACTTTTTCATGTACCTGTTTGCCATCTGCATGTCATCTTTGGAAAAATGTCTATTCAGATCCGCCAATTTTTTTTAATCAGATGGTTTGTTTTTCGCTATTGAGTGGTATAAGCTTTTTATATATTTTGGATATTAGCCCCTTACCAGATATATGATTTGCAATTATTTTCTCCCATTTAGTAGGTTACTTTTTCATTTTGTTGATAGTTTTCTTCACTGTGCAGAAACGTTTTAGTTTGATGTAGTCCTGCTTATTTATTTTTGCTTTTGGTATCAGATTAAAAAAATCATCACCAAGGCCTATGTCAAGGAACTTACTGCCTAGGTTTTTTTCTATGAATTTTATGGTTTCAGATCTTATGTTCAAGTCTTTAATCCAGTTTGAGTTAACTTTCGTGTGTGGTGTAAGATAATAGTCCAGTTTCTTTTACTTTTTCTTTTCTTTTGCATGTGGCTGCCCAATTTTCCCATCACCATTTATCGAAGAGACTGTCCTTTCCCCATTGTACATTCTTGGGTCCTTTGATGTAAATTAATTGGCCATATAGGCATGGGTTTATTTCTGGGCTCTCTATTCTGTTCCATTGATCTATATGTCTGTTTTTATACTAATACCATACTATTTTAATTACTATAGCTTTGTAGTATAGTTTAAAATCAGAGAGCATGATGCCTCTAACATTGGTTTTTTGTTTTTTGGTCTGTTTTGTTTCTTTTTGAGATTACTTTGGCTGTTCAAGGGCTTTTATGTTTCCATACAAATTTTAGAATTGTTTGTTTTAATTCTGTGAAAAAATGGCAGTGGAATTTTGACAGAGATTTCATTAAATCCGTAGATTGCTTTTGGGTAGTATGGACATTCTAACAATATTATTTCTTCCAATACACAAGTACAAAATATCTTTCATTTATCTGTGTCTTTCAGTCACTTTCTTTAATGTCATGTAGTTTTCAATATACTGGTCTTTCACCTCCTTAGTTAAATTTATTACTAGGTATTTTATTATTTTTGATGTAACTGTAAATGAGATTGTTTTATTAATTTATCATTTTGTTAGTTTGTTATTAGAGTATAGAAACAAGAGATTTTTGAGTATTGATTTTGTATCCTTAACTTTACTGAATTTATTTATTCATTCTAACAGTTTTCAATAGAGTCTTTAAGGTTTTATATACATAATTTCATGTTATCTGCAAATAGTGACAGTTTCAGTCATTCCTTTCTAATTCAGATAGCTTTTATTTCTTTTTATTGCCTAATTACTCTGGCTAGGACTTCCAATACTATGTTGAATAAAAGTGGTGAGAATGGGCATCCTCATTTTGTTCCTGATTTTAGAGGAAAAGCTTTAAACTTTTCACCATTGAGTATGATGTTAGCTGTGGGCTGTTATCTATGGCCTTTATTTTTGTGTATGGTGTAAGATAGTCCCCATTAGACTGTGTCCTCTCTATATCTGCTTCGTTGAGAGTTTTTATCATTAGTAGATGTTGAATTTTCTCAGATGCTTTTTATACATCTATTGAGATGATCAAATGATTTTTATCTTTCATTTTGTTAATGTGGTGTATCACATTGATTTGCAGATGTCGAACCATCCTTGCATCCCTGGAATAAATCCCATTTGATCGTAATGTATGATCCTTTTAATGTATTGTTGAATTTGGTTTGCTAATATTTTGTTGAGGATTTTTGTTCATTAGAGATATTGGTCTGTAATTTTATTTTCTGTGGCATCCTTGTCTGGTTATGCTGCCCTTGTGAAATAAGTTTGGAAGAGTTCCCTCCTCTTCTATTTTTTGGAAGAGTTTGAGGAAGATTGATATTAATTCTTTGGTCATTTGGTAGAATTCACCAGTTAAGCCATTTGGTCTTGGACTTTAGTTTGTTGACGGATTATTGATTACTGCTTCAATCTCCTTACTAGTACTAAGTCTGTTAAAATCTTCTATTTCATCATGACTCAGTCATAGTAGGTTGTATGTTTCTAGGAATATATCTATTTCTTCTAGGTTGTCCTATTTGTTTGGCATATAACTGTTTATAGTATTCTCTTATGATCCTTTGCATTTCTGTGGTATCCGTTGTAACACCGCTTTCATTTCTGATTTTATTTTAGTCCCCTTTTTTCTTTGTGAGTCTAGCTAAAGATTTGTCAAATTTGTTTATCTTTTCAAAGACCTAGCTCTTAGTTTTACTGATCTTTTCTATTGTCATTTTA